TTCGTCACACTGTGTTGGCTTTTGTTGCTGTGATGCTGAAAACTATGCCACAGGTATTTCAAATACAAGCAAGATCAATCATGACAGAGAGGCTTCAGCATAGCTTCTAGACTAAAGCAGACTAGGCAGAAAGGCCTGGCAACCTACTTCCAAAAATTAGCCAATGAAAATCTTATGGATCATAACAGAACACTGACTCGATTGCATTGGACATGTCATAAAGAGGGATCAATCGCAGGAGGAGGACATCACATTTGATGCAACAAAGGGTCAGAGAGGCAGACCCTTGATGAAATAGATTAGCACAATAACTGTACTGAAAGACTCCAACATGCCAGCAATAGTAAGGATGACATAAGACTGGGCAAAGCTTTGTTCTGCTGTACATAAGGTTGCCATGAGCTAGAGTTGATTTGACAGCAGCTATCTATTTAACAACCTAAAGATTATTAAACTGATAAGGGCAAACCCTCAGTAATTTATATTTAAAAAGCAGGACTATAAACAACTGAATTGACAGTCTGTTCAACTGATGATGTATTAATAATAAAGCATCCTTCCCCAAAATTTCAGAAACTCTGCCTATAAATGTACACAGCAGGATGTATGCAAAATTGTACATTATCTACATTTCTTAGAACACTAACTTAAGTTTGTGAATGCCACTTCTTAGAAATGTTTAATAATTCACTTTGTAAGTTACAAGATATAACATTCAGTCATAAATAAAAATGAATCTATTCACTAATAGCAAAGTTCAACAAGACAGAAAATAACAAATGCTAGCAAGGATGTGGAGATTGGGACTCCCATACACTGCTGGTGGGACTGTCAAATGATACAACCACTGTGGAAAACAGTATGGTGATTCCTTAAAAAGCTGGAATTAGAAATACCATTTGACCCTGCAATTCCATCACTAGGTATATATCCTAAAGTGAGAGCCAAAACAAGAACAGATATATGCATACTCACGTTCATCGCTGCACTATTTACAATAGCAAATAGATGGAAACAACCTATGTGCCCATAAACTGACGAATGGATAACCAAACTATGGTACATACACAAAATAAAATAACTATGCAGCACTAAAGAATAATGTAGAATCTGCAAAACACCGTATTAACATGGATGAACTTGAAGGACATTGTGGTAGTTAAGTTTGTGTGTCAACTTGGCTAGGCCTGGTTGAGTGGCTGGATAGCTGGACATAGTATTCCCCATGATGAGACTGGTAATCAACACCATGGTGGAATCTACTGTGAGCAGCTGACTAGCTGCCTTAGGGATGTGGTCTGCCTCCTGTATATAAGCAGAAGCCTTGGGGAACAGTCCCTACCTTACGTCATGCTTGAACCCTGCATGTGGCCGTGTCGTTGTTCAGCAGCCTGTCATGCTCTGCTGACCTTGAGACTTTCAATGGACTTGAATTAATGGCCTGCTGTGTGGTTTCATAACATCAGGACTGTGACATTTTATTTGTCGACCTTGGGCTTGTCAGCCTCAGCAGCCAGTAGCTGCCTGAGTGAAGATATGCCTCTAGCTTCAGTGGGCTGGGAGCAAGAGGCAGAGCTGAAGCCCAAGGTTGAGGGGCTTTCACCCAGCCCCTAGAGCCTCACATTTGGAACTCGGACTTCTAGCCTCCTGTACTGTAAAAGAGAATAAACTCCTGTTTGTTCAAGCCATCCCATTTGTGATATACTACCGTCAGAGCAGCACTAGGTAACCAGGAGAGACATTATGCTGAGTGAAATAAGTCAATCACAGAAGAACAAACATAGTATTAGTTCATTGTTGTAAAAAGTCGAGGAAATGTTTATATATGGAAGGAAACTTTCTTTGTTGGTTACCAGGGGTGGGAAGGAAGGGGAGGGAATACTACAAAAAAAAAAAAAAAAAAGCATGGACCCATGTCACTTTAGTTTTGTGTATTTCCCTGTACATAAACTGTATTTCAATAAAATGTATTTTTTAAAAAAAATGAGTCTATCGAGTTTCACTTGCGAATTATTGATCAAATAAGTTGTGTGTGCATGAGAGAGAGAAAGAAACTTCTTTAAAATACGTCAGAAACAGTACTCCTTGGAGCATACTATGGGAAAGTAAAAATTAGAACTTGTAGCCTTCTGAGCTATGACTTTTGGCTCACAAAGCAGATAAACCTTCATTAAGAGGTAAAAGATGAAATTATTCAATATTTAATACTAAATTATGTTCTAATGAAACTGGCTATTTCTATAACTTAATCTTTTAATAGCTTTCAAAGGTACAGCATAGTGAGGTGAAAAAGAACAAGAGTTTTGTTCTTCCTTTGTACAAATTATCTTTCTGAGTCTTGAGACTCATCTATAAATACTCACCCAGAGCATTGCTGGGAGAATTGTCTATGACTGACACCTAGTTTACAGCAGCCATCCACTTATTTTTCACAGATTTGAAATATTTATATTTCTACTGTTATTTAAGAGAAAATTTTTCCTACCACAACTGCAAATTTTCAGAAATTAAGTAATTTTAGGTTTCTCATTTCTTCAGTGCTCCCTCCTGATCCCTATTTCACAACCATTGATCTACTTTCAGCACAGGACAAGTCCAGCTGGACCAGAGCAATACAAATGTCTTTAGATAGATGCCAACGATGGGTCTCTCCTCATCCAGAGCAAAGAAGAATGAAGAAAACCAAAGATGCATGGAGAGAATTAGTCCTAGAGACTGGTACACCATGCGATCTGCAGCCTATATGACTATGAGACCAGAAGAACTAGATGGTGCCCAGCTACTGCTGCCAACCACTCAGAGGGGTATCTATGTAGGAGATCCTGGATAGAGAGTGGATACAAAGGGAGAACAACATGGAACAAAACTCAATCATTTGGGGGAAAAAAAAAAGGAGACCAGGTTTGCTGGTCTGATAAGAGTCTGGTGGAACCCCTGAAGACTGTGGACCCTGGCTGCCCTTCAGGTCTGGAATTGAACCTACACCTGTGGCTTCCAGCCAAACAAAAGACAGGCATATGAGTTGAACGTTTACCTAAGGTAGATACACTCCTTGAAGAGAACAATCATGGAAGAAAGAAAGGCTATTAATGCCCAGGAAGACAGCTCAGGGGGCAGGAGTGCATGGAGGGATGGACACAGGGAAGAGGTAACTATGGGGAGGAAGTGGGAGGGGAGCTGTTGCATTGTGGTAAGTTGGAGTCAATGTCATGAGACAAAGTGTATGTGAACTGCTGCATGGAAAGTGAATTTACTCTGTAAATTTTTACCCAAATCAAAATTAAAAAAAAAAAAAATGTCTTTAGAACTGGTAGGGATATTAGATAGCATTATACCGACAATCTGAGGAATAAGGAAGAAGTGTATCAGAATGGTGAGGGAAAGAAAGATTGTGTAGTGTTTAAAAAGCATATTTAGTATTATAATTTTTTATTTTTTGGGGGGAAAGTCTCATAGCTTTAGAAATAAAAGTAAAGGTCAACATGATTTTTTGGCTGGTAGGGATACACTAAAGATACTGACTCAACCAAAGGAATGTCCCATTGAGGTGTCCCGACATTTTTATGTTGCTAGGAAGGAGGTAAAGGCTAAAAATGTCTGAAAATTCTTGGCTAGATCGACTCACTAAAAACATTTAAAGGTTAAAAAACAACAACAAAAAAAAAACACCAAAAACAAAAAGAAACCAGAGTCCCAAAGAAGTTATTAGACACGTGCAAGTCAGAGCACCATGAAGTGGCTCAGAGTGCACTTAAAGACAGATCCTCTGACTTCTAGCCCAATTCTCAGTACATTAACCACGTTGTTAGGTGCCATGGAGTCACTCATTGCGACTCTATGTACGACAGAAGGAAACACCGCCGGTCCTGAGCCATCCTCACAATCTTTGCTATACTTGAGCCTACAGTTACAGATACTGTGTCAATCAATCTCATGGAATCCTCTTTTTTTTTTGCCGACCCTCTACTTTACCAAGCATGATATACTTCTCCAGGGAATGGTCCCTTTCTGACAACACGACCACAGTCTGTGAGAAGTCTGGTCATTCTCACGTTCATTAACCATACCAGTGACCATTTACATTAACATTAACCATACCAGCTGCAAAATGTTTTGTTTTTCCCCACGCAATAAAAATTCTTGAAGTACAATGGAATAAAGCATTCTCATTAATACTTGAGTCCTTTATGACAAATATCTGCCATTGTCTTCCACATCCACGATACATATGTATATCATTCTATCACTTAATATTTGTAACAATATTTACACAATAACACTTATAACAATATCGCCAGGTACTGCACCCACTTTCCATGACAACAAACCGAGGCTAGGTGAAGTTAGGTAACTTGTCCATGATAAACCTTGCGGAATTGAAAGTCAACACAGTGTGACTCCAAAACTCCTTCTTCTTCACTAATCTACCCTCCCTCCTCATTCGTATCCCTAAGGAAAAAGAACTTGAGATACTAGTCTGCAGGGTGTGAAAAGAGGCCATGCTTTTTGGAAAGTCTTGACAGTATAAAACCTGACTAGTAACTCGCAGGTAGCAGAGTTACGGAGATCAAATCAATCTTTATAAAGCTAGTGCAAGGTTATTATTCATCACTCTTAATGAAGACTTGGTCATAACTGAATATATTAAAAATAATTTCATAATCTCAATTTAGCATTTTTAGAAACGAGACACTTTCACTGCTCTTTCAAGGGACTGTGCCCTCAAGTGGTCAAAATGGCCCATTACTAAACCTTACAGATACAAAAAAGAAGTCAGCCCGTGCAAAACCAATCTGGCCACCCTACAACTACAGTCTTAATTCAATTTCGGAAAGCGGTCATAGCCCCTGCCTCACCAAAAGCACAAACACAGGGTCGAACCCCCCCCCCCCCCCGACGCAACGCGCATGCGCTCTCCTGGCCTCTCCAGACGCTACCACCACCTGGTGGCGCCACTCCCCCTCAACTGTTTAATCCGCTCAGCCCGCTCTTTCGAATACCTTTGTCCAATTCCATAAGAGCAGAGTTAGCATCCAATTCCTGTTCGCCATAGCCAGCATCTGCCAGGAAAGACTTAGCTGAGTTTGAGGCCATGACTCGAATAGTTACTCGACTGGCCTATTCATAAAGATTGTAAACTATGCCCCAGCCCCGCCATCTTCCACTGCTTTCTCGCGGATTTTCCCTCCGTGCGCTGGCAAGCCGTGTTGCGCATGCGCCCTGGTCACCGCGTGGTTCGCCGGCGCCTCTTTGGCCCCCCGCGCAGGCGCTCAGGGAGCTCTTGAACTCTAGGTTCCCGCGGATTGGCGAAAAGGAGGCGGAGCTCGGAAGGGAAAAGTGACTGTAAGGCGCTCAGATGCCAGGGCGGGAGCCAATCAGAGAGCATGACGTAAGTTTGGCGCGGAGTTTGGTGGCTGGAGCTTGTGGTGGCGGGAGTTGGAGGTAGTAACTAAACGTGTTCTTAGGGCGCAAGCTAGGTATCTGCTGAATCTGGGGGCATTTCCAAAGCTTTTTCTTCACTTGAGGTTTTTATTCTGCGGCCCAGATGCTCTTCAGTTTGGTGCTTCGCCAACCCCAGGTTGGCGTCCCGAGAAATGGTGAGTAACGGTCCTAACCGCTTCTTGCTGCTGGCTGGGTTCCCCTCCCTCCGAACACACAACATCCCGGGCTACAGCGAGTTTCCCACTGCAAGAGTGATTTAGTGTTAGCGCGGACTACTGAAGAAAACTGTACTTTCAGTGTTTCATTGTCTTGGAGTACTTTTTTCTAAATGATAAAAGTAGTCTGAGAAAAGGACAGAAGTTGAGTTAACTGACCTTCACTGTCCTTTACGGCCTTAACGTCTCTGTTGTGCGTTAACTAGCAAGTACTGGAATTTTTTTGTGTGTGTATGTGATTCTCTCAACAGCTGTGTAAAGTGGACACGACGTGTATTTATTAATTCATACATTTGTTGTAGAACCTTAGTGAGAACGTTTGCTATGTTTAGATGATATACCAGTAAATAGGACGCGCTGTTAAGGAACTTAATCAAGCAGAAAAGGGAGACTATCTGCTTCTGGCAAGGTCAAAAGCACTTTCTCCACCCTATTGCTATATGTTCATAAAAACAAGAAACTTGTAGAATAAAGATCTCCATAACTACAGCATCCCCCAGAGATGACCGCTGTTGATAAATTCAGTGCAGTGTTTCGGGTATTTTTTGATGCCAATGGGAGTATGTATTGTAATGGTTTGTTTTGTTTTTCATTTTAACAGTATAACTTAGATATCTTTCTATGTTATGTAGAAATCCAACTTATTCTCTACAATTCTTTAGAATTCTTTGGTTAAAACATTGTCAGCAAGAATTTTGAGTTTGGTTTCTGTATTTAAAACTTTGTCTGAAACTTACTGATAAGGGGTGACTGTTGTTATGTGCTGTCAAGTGATCCCCGACTCATAGTGACCCCTCCTTGGGTTTCTGAGGCATTATCACTACAGAAGTAGATTGCCCAATCTTCCTTCTGAGGAGTGGCTGGTGGGTTTGAACCACCAGTCTTCTGGTTAGCAGTCAAGTGCCTTAGGCACTATGCTACCAGAGCTCCTAAGGAGTTACTAGACTTAGACAAATGAAATCTTACACAGGGCTAATCTAGAAAATGATATTGAGGAGACTGAGTAGGCCCTCAACTTCCCACTCCCAGTCTAAAACCTTACTTACTTCCCTCTTAAACAGTCCTTTAAATTATATTCTAAAAGTCCTGCTTCCTGTCTCTCCTATGAGCATGCGTGAGAGACTTCTCTGAGCTGTCTTTGGAGTTAGACCCAGTTTTAATTCCAGCTCCACTCCTTATTATTTGTGTGACCTGAGGCAAACCCCTCTATCTTGCCACAAATAATCCCCTAATTCACCAATCTGCCTACTTCTTTCCTTCCCTTTCTTTTTCCAATTCACAAGTATTCAGTCATTGCTACATATTAACCATCAGTTACTGAATGGTCCATTTCATGTGTGTCAGAGTAGAACTGTGCTCCATAAGGTTTAGTGGCTGGTTTTTTGGAAGTAGATCATTGAGCCTTTCTTCAGAGATACCTCTTGCTGGACTTGAACTGCCAGTCTTTTTGATTAGTAGCTGAGCACCTTAACCATTTGCACCACCTAGAGACTCCTGTTGTATGATAAAAAAAAAAAAAAAAAAAACCAAACCCACTGCCATCAAGCTGATTCCAACTCATACCGACCCCCATTGGGTTTCCGAGACAGTAAATCTTTATGGAAGTAGACTGCCTGGTACTCCTTCCACAGAGTGGCTAGTAGGTTTGAACCATCAACCTTCTGGTTAGCAATCAAATGCCTCAGGCACTGCACCACCAGGGCACTTTTGCTGTATGTTGTTGTTGTTATGTGCCATCAAGTTGGACCCGACTTATAGCGACCCTTCCTTGGGTTTCTGAGGCAGTGTCACTACGGAAGTAGATTGCCCAACCTTCCTTCCAAGGAGTGGTTGGTGGGGTTAAATGCCAGCCTTCTGGTTCCTTTCCCTTTCAATGTTAGTGTTACACTCTTAGCTCCTTTTCTTCTACCTACTCTGTTAGATGATTAGAATCATGACCAGGGTTTCTTCCACTGCTGCCTACCACCTTCCACCCCCTATGCTTTAGACCCAATCCTATAAATGCTATATGGATTTTTTCACCCAGGTTGACTCAGTGGCAATGAGTTTGGTTTGGTTTAGTTCTATAAGCATCTCAAACTCAGATGCTTGAAACTGAACTCACTTTTTCCCCAAACTTGATGTTGTTGTTAACAAGTCATCTCCGACTCATAGTGACCCTATGTACAACAGAACAAGACACTGCCCAGTCCTATGCCAGCCTCATGGTCCTTGCTATACCTGAGCCCATCATTGTAGCCACTGTGTCGATCCATCTCATTGAGGGCCTTCCCCTTCTTTGCTGGCCCTCCACTTTACCAAACATGATATCCTTCTCCAGGGAATGGTTCCTCCTGACAACATGATCAAAGTGGGTGAGATAAAGTCTGGCCATTCTCGCTTTCAAGGAGCATTCCAGCTGCGCTTCTTCCAGGACAGATTTGTTAGTCCTTTTAGCAGTCCATGGTACT